CCTGCATACCTGGCCAACCTGGGTCTGTCCTCAACCATTTCTTCTCTGTGTACCTTCATCCTGGCCACAGCCCCTCAGAGCTCTCCTTTATGAAGAAGCCAGGTTGGAATTTGAGCCCAGGTCCTTCCTCCCCTATCTGCTTCTTGTCAGGCCCAGGTGTCTGGTGCCCCACCTGCCCCAGCACATGCTTTCCCTAGTCCCTGGGCCTCTGCTGCCTGAACATGCTCATTTGAGACTTGGTTTCACCCGTGCCTGTCATGCTGATTCTCAGATCTACTCATTGTCCCATGAAAATGCATGGTGGAACTACTCCTTGTGTTAAAAAGGAACCACTTTTGGCTGGCACTGGTGATTGCTTGCTGCATACAGAGTGGGGGCTGTCGTCTCAACTCTTAGGTTATTCATAGTACAGTGGGCTCAGCAGACAGGAATAACAGTTCCTTCAGGAGGTACCACAGATGATGCTGAGGGAGCACAGGGTTTCTGTGCAGTATGTAATACAGGTGCCCTGGTGGGAGCAGGCAGCATGCAAGGCAGCAGGGTTATTGTCCCCCAGGGCCCTGGGCAGAGCGAGTGAGGCAGGCACAAGGGCAGGCTCCTCACAGTTTCTTGGACAGACTGCCTTCCTTGCTGGTGAGCAGTGAAGAGCAATATGTGAGGTCCTAAAGACAGGCAGGGGCAACATAGCCCAGGCTTCCCACCCTCACTACTAACATGTAACTTGGGGATCTGGTGGAGGGGTGGGGGTGTGGATGGCAACTGGAGACAGAGGCCTGTTGGGATAGATCACCGCAGTTGCAGTGGGAATTAGGGCAAGGATTTGGACTTTAGGGAATTGGAGGTGGCAGCTGGGAGGTGAAGAGGGTTTTCCAGGTTTCTGGCATGAGTGCTTGGTGCAGGAAGATGATGATATCAAAAGGTGTCATTGCTGGTTGCTCAGGCAGGATCAGGCAGTGATTTTAAGACCACCGTGTTCTTGGGGCAGGTCTAGACAGTAAGGGTATCTTCAGATCCCCTGATGAGGAGCTCTGAGGACCTCTAATAGTGATCAGTTCCCTGGGAGGCTCTGGTCTAAACTTGATACCAGATGAATCCCAACTAAGGCACATAGATATAAACATGGCAACCAGCTAGACCATAGCCCAAGTCACAGCAAGGGACCAGCTGCTCTAAGCAGGTGTCAGTTCTTTTGTTCATCTTCTCAGAGGGCTGGCTGGTACAACCAGGAGAGTGACCCTAGCTCCCTTCATCATCTGGTGCCAACACCACCTGGGCAATCAGGCAGACTTGGGTTCTTTGGCTGCCGCCTCATAGGTCCCTACCTTTCTGTGAGTACAATGCTTACATTGGACAGGGCTGTAGCCGAACAGTCATTTAGGGTCCTCTCTTGTGAGCTGACACAAGTTTGCTCCCTGACCTCCCCTGGCTGGGCAGACTTGTCTTCCCCAGCTTTCTTGTATGGGTTGAAGCTCACCTGGTAGTTGGTTCTTTGTTCTTTCCCTGAAGCTGTACCTTTTGCTCTGTGCTTGGGGCTATCTCCTTGTGTGATAGTTTACCTTCATTTTGTGATAGTGACTCAAAGATTTTGTTTTCAGGAGATAGAGACTGAGGAGTGGTCCCAGATCCAGCTGCTCAGGAAGGCATTCTGGGGACGGCAGCAAAGCCCAGATCAGGGAGAGTGGAAGGGGCTTTGGGGAGTAGCCTGAGCCAGTGCTGTTCTGAAGGTGGGCCTGGGTCCTGACCTGGGGGGACCCAGGGGGACCTGATGTGAGCATGAGTCTGAAATATGGTGTCCATAAGGCATCAATGCCCAAACAACCAGTGTCTCTTGAAAGCACTGAGCTGGTCAGAGAGGAAAGGGCAGCTCTTCACGGGGAAAGGTAGGGTATTCACAGACAGAGCTGCCTCATTTCTTTTTTGATTCATCTCTATTTTGTGGAACACGATCTTTAGACCAGAAACGGGCAAAATGTTTATAAATATATTTATCAATACGTAAATGCATGTGTTTTCACAGAACTGAAAGCAGTGCTCAGCGCATCTCTGTTTATTCTTCAGGCACCAAACCTGAAGGGCCTTTCTGGGAAGGCGCTGTGAAGGAGGCATAGGAGTGGCAGACATGGTGCCAGAGCCCTGGCCTGGCTGGAGGAGTACCTTCTTCATCAGCCTGGCTCTGTGCCTTGCAGCCCCCATGAAGCTTATGCAGAGCTGGATGTTCACCCCAGCTCAGCTTCCTGGTGTTGAGGAGCATGCTCCAGCTTGTCAAGATATGCCTGTTACTAGCCTCCAGCTTGGTCGATGTTCCTCGGGCTTTTGAGTCACTGACAGTTGGTGCCACTGCGTCCAAGCCATCTGTGGTATTACCTTGGCCAGAAGGGGACAGGGCTTACCCACTAACACATCCTCTGGTGTCTGATACTATTTTGCCTCAGATCACCAAGCACGTTTCTTAAACCTAGTCATCCCACCACCTCAAAGCTCATGCTTTAAGCCATGTTTTTGGGTCTTGTCTGCAGCTGTGCCAGGCATCTTTGCTGCAGTTGAGACACACAGTGTCTATTTGGGATCTGCCAGTTTGCTGACCTTCTCAAAAATGGCTGCAGCAGCTTAGGAGGACTGTTTTGTTTTGTTTTATTTTGCTTTTTAACCAAGCCTGGCTTAGCCCTGACTTGTCACTGCTTTTGGGCACAAAGCCCATTTTTGTAACCATGTGCCATCCTCAGATTCCCCAGCTCTCCTCTCTTCCTCTGACTCCTGGGTGCACCTTCTGGTACAGCCTCCCTACTCCCCACCCAGTCAGCCTCCATGCTGTCCCAGTCGGCTTGCAAGTGCTCTCCTTCCCTTGGGTCCTCTGTTGGGTTGTGGCTCTATAACCCTCAGCCCCTGGCAAGTCTCTGTGTGGAGCAGGGTTTGCCTCCTGTTCCCCTTTTCATACTGCTATCAGAAGGTGGGAAGAGGAACAAATATGGCCTTGAGGGGAGGGACACAGGTGAGGTAACCTTCAGGAGACAAATCTCTTGTCAGAAATGCTTAGTGACAGATGGGTGCAGTGGCCCACGCCTATAATCCCAACACCATAGGAGGCTGAGGCAGGAGGATTGCTTGAGCCCAGGAGTTTGAGACCAGCCTGGACAACATAGTGAGACCTTGTTTCTACAGAAATTTAAAAAATTAGCTGGGCATGGTGTTGCATGCCTGTAATTCCAGTTACTTAGGAAGTTGAGGTGGGAGGATTGCTTGAGCCCAGGATGAGCATGTGGTGAGCTGTGATTTCACCACTGCACTCTAACAGAGTGAGACTCCTCCCAAACTCAAAAAAAGAGAGAGAAATGCTTAGCGATTTCTTAGGGCCCACTAGCTGATGTCCCAACCTTCCCTTGTGGGAGCCTGCCCTATGTCAGCCTCAGCACATGCATGTCAGATCCTCACCGGTCTCCCAGCCTCTACATGTCTGTCCGTGCCTCACCTCCCCAAGAGTCTGATCCTGCACTGTGAGTGGGCTGGCTCTCTAGTTGTCCTGCAGTCTTAACTCCCGTTCTCTTGTAACCCTGGTGACCTTTCCTCTCATGTATCTGCTCCACCCCGGGCACAATATACCTGTTGCTGTCTCCTTGCCTCAATTCGGGCTTCAGGAAGTGGGCAGAAAGGCAGGAACTCCAAGTATGCTTAGTTTTGGGGGGTTTTTTTTGAGTCAAAGTCTCACTCGGTCACCCAGGTTGGAGTGCAGTGGCACGCTTACAGCCTCTGCCCTCTGGGTTCAGGCGATCCTTTCGCCTCAGCCTCCCAAGTAGCTGGCATGCCTGGCTGATTTTTTTATTTATTGTAGAGATGGGGTCTTGCCAAGTTGCCCAGGCTGGTTTCAAATCCCTGGGCTCAGGTGATTCTCTCACCTCAACCTCCCAAAGTGCTGGGATTACAGACATGAGCCACTACACCCGGCCTAGCATGGTTGTTGAATGAAGTATCTAGTAGTGTGATGGGTCAGCATTGTTTTGTTTTTCTTTTTTACACTAAGACTAGCTTGTGCATCTCTCAGTATCAAGCCTCCTTTCTCTGATGTCTTTGGGAACCATAAGTGTGATGCCACAGCCCCATGTGCAAATTTTTCAGTAACTGTGTTGATGGGTTTGTTGTTGGAGTGGTCGGAAAGCTTTCTGGCACCAGCAAGACTGGGCGTGTTTAATTCACTCAGAAGTGAGGCTGCAAAGCCCTTGATGTGCTTGTTTGTTTGTTTATTAGCAAGCCCAGTGCTGGGAAGGCCAGCAGGGAGGAGGCCCATACTAATGGGAAGAAGGCAGACCAGAGCAGCCAGTCAGTCCCTGGGAGCCACTGGCCAGGCCTTTCTAACGTGTGCACACATGTTCTTATCTTTGTGTGTGCTACCATTCGAGGGCTTTCCAGCTTAGCTGACGTGCACAGCCCTTTATCCTCATGGAACATCAGTGTAATGAAAATCTTTAATAGGATTCCATCCCTTACTACACGTGTGTTGGCAAATGTGTTCTTAAGATATTTTTCACATCTGTGTGGTCTGTTTCTTCCTATACCCAACTAGAGGTTGAAGTTGGGGCTTGTCTCTTTTGTCCCACGAAGGGCCCCTTGCCTTGGAGGGACTGAGAGAGGACTTGGTGTGGGCCTTTTGTTTTATAAAAGGAGGAATCTGGAACCAGGGTCACATTATGCTGGCAGAGTTGAATGGGGAACCAGGGCACTCATGCAGGAATTAGAGGCCAGCTGGCTGGCCACTCAGCGGTCTAATGCACATGTATTTGGTTTTGATTCAGTTGTAAGTGGTCCCTAGGATTGGTCCCCCTCCTGCTCGTGCTGGAGCTCCCTCTTAGCTTCATGGCAACTACTTTTTCTGTTCTTTCTCACGGCCCTGACTGCTTGTTCCCTTGCTCCGCTGCCTGTCATTGCTCTCAACTGAGCACCCTCCTTCATGCCTCTCCTGGACCACAGCCAGGCTGGTATGTGTAAATGTCTCTTCTTTTGTGTTTCAGTGAGGATGCCATGAGGAAAGCTGGCGTGGCCCACAGTAAATCTAGCAAGGATATGGAGAGCCATGTGTTCCTGAAGGCCAAGACCCGGGTAAGGCCCTGCTGAGTAGAGCTCTTACCCCTGCGGATTGGTTGCTCCCTGATTGATCATGGACACAGTTGGCTTTGCCTAAAGCATACTAGGTTCTCCCATGTGTCCGTGGTGCAGGGAGGACACCTAGGATGTAGGCCTAGCCTCTGGTACCTTCCATCTGTGGTCAGCCTCCATAACTCCCACAGGGAGTTCATTCAGGCCCCCAGCTGCTCCTGTGGAAGGGATGAGTGCTGTAATAACTGGGTGTGTCCTTGGCCCCAAACCCCCAGGGGTCCTTACCTAAGCCCCACAGGGCCCTGAGGCATGGACCCAGAAGCATTCTTGTCCTTTTATCATGTGAGAAAGGTGATGTTTGTTGAGGTTGAGGCCTTGAATGTCACAGGTGGAGCAGAGGGTAAGGATTTCGGTTATATGGGCCAGGCACCACACTGAGGCTGCATGAGACCACCTCCCTTCATCCATGTGCACCCTGGGGTGGACTTATTTTAGTAGAAATGAAGCAAAAGACATTAAGTGAAATTTAATAGAAATAGAAAAAAAGTGTGTTTGTGCACAAATATTATTTGCAAGGCACAGGAACCGAGATGCAGCAGAGTGGGCTTTGCACTGTGGATACCTGTGTAAGCTTTTGCTTTTGCTTTTTTTAAGAACTTTATATGAGTCACCCTTTAAGGTGTACAATTCAGTGGCCTTTAGGCTGTTACAGAATTGTGGGGCCATTGCCACAATCTAAATTTAGAACATTTTTTTAAAGAATCCACATACCCTGTTGAAGTCACATCACATTTTCCTTCAACTTCAGCAACCACTTTCTGCTGCTATGGACTTACCTATTCTGAACTTTCCGTGTAAACGCAGTCATATAATATTTGTTTTTTGCAACTGGTTCTTTCACTTAGCATAATACCTTCAGGGTTCATCTATGAACCATGTTGTAGCATGTGCATTTTTTATTGCTAAATAATATTTTACATACTTTCTATATTCATTCATCAGTTGATGACCTTTTGAGTTGTTTCCACTTTTTGGCTGGTATGAATAATGCTGAAAAATAAGTCATGTACAAGTTTTTGTGTGGGTTTATGTTTTTGTTTCTAGGATAGAGACCTACAGGAGGAGTTGCTGGATCATCTAGAAACTCTATATATATTTGTTTGTTTGTTTGCTTGTTTGTTTGCTTGTTTATTGAGTCAAACCTCACTCTGTTGCTCAGGCTGGAGTACAGTGGCATGCTCATGGCCACCTTAGCCTTGACCTGCTGGGCTCAGCAGATCCTTCCGTCTCAGCCTTCCAGGTAGCAGGAACTACAGGCATGGGCCATCACGCCTGGCTAATTTTTTGGTTTATTGTAGAGTCGAGGTCTCACCATGTTGCCCAGTCTGGTCTTGAACCCTCGGGCTCAGGCAATCCTCTCACCTCTGCCTCCCAAAGTGCTGGGATTATAGGGGTGAACCAGTGCACCTGGCTGGTAACTCTATATTTAACCTTCTGAGGAATGGCCAGACTTTTTCAAAGAGGCTGCACCTTTTTAAATCCCTACCAGTAGCTTCTCTCCAGCACTTGCTTTTTTTTTTTTTTTTAAACTATAGCCATCATCTGAGTGTGAAGTGGTATCTCATTGTGATTTTGATTTTGATTTGCCTGGTGTTTAACATCTTTTCATGTGTCTATTGGCCATTTGTACATTTTATTTAGAAAAATGTCTCTTTGAAATCCTTTACCCATTTTTTAATTGGGTTGTTAGTCTTTTTATTGTTGAGTCATAATTGTTGTTTATGTATTGGAATACAGATCTTATTCATTATATAATTTGCAGATATTTTCAGAGATAAGTTTTTGTTTTTACAGAGATGAAGTCTCGCTATGTTGCCCAGACTGGTCTTGAACTCCTGACCTCAAGCGTTCCTCCCATCTCGGCCTCCCAAAGGGCTGGGATTACAGACATGAACCACCATGCTCAGCCAATGAGTTTTTAAAAATTGTTTTTGTTTGTATTTTCTTAGAATTAAATGAACTTTGATAAGGGCTTATTAAACTGTCTCAGTTTTGTTTTGTTTTGTTTTTTTTGAGTTGGAGTCTCATTCTGTCACCCAGGCTGGAGTGCAGTGGCACACTCACTACTGCAGCATCAACCTCCTGGTCTCAGGTGATCCTTCTGCCTCAACCTTTCTAGTAGTTGAGACTACAGCATATGCCACCACACCTGGCTAATTTTTTTGATGTATTGTAGAGATGAGGTCTCATCATGTTGCCCAGGCTGGTCTCGAACTCCTATACTCAGGCAGTCTTCTTGCCTCATTTTCCCAAAGTGCTGGGATTATAGGAATGAGCCACCACACCTAGCCTCTGTCTCAAATTTTGAAATGTAGAAATTTGATTCTTGATCATATGGGTCAGGAGTTGGGGCAGTTGGAATTGCCTGGCTGGGCTGTTTTGCTGGTTTCTCTTGTGACTTCTCATGTAAATGCTTGCAGCTGGCAGCTGACTGGGCCAGAATGGCAATAAAGACTCCACTCCCGTGGCTGCATATCAGTTTCCCTACGTGGCCTCCACGTGGTATCTCGAGCAACATAGCTGGGCTTCCTTACAGCATGGCTCTGGCTTCCAAGAGGTAGAATTGGAAACTGCCAGTCCTGGGATCCTAGAACATTACTTGAATTCAGCAAGTCTTAAAGCCAGTGTAGGTTCAGGGGAGGGTAAGTTGCCTTTACCTTTGGATAAGAGCAGTGACCTGAGGTACAGGGAAGCCAATGATTATCGAGAGAGTACTGTAGATGGCTAGCTCCCAGCAGCTGTGGACTAAGCCCCTCATCCCAGAGTAGGTGTCCAGCAACACAACAGCCCCTGCAAACCATGCAGTTTGCTCTGCCTCAGCCTCTGGATTATTGCGGCTCACATGCTGTGCCTTAATGATTTTAGTCCATTTCCTTTGATCAAGCTGCTTCTAAGTCCGTAACTCCAAGAGGAGGCCCTAACTAATTGGAAGAGAAGTATTTATAAGAACTGTATTGGAAATTTCCTATGTCATTTTTACAGGGCCAGACGTCTTACTTGAGTACTGCTGTCTGATATTCATCTTTTTACTGACGCTCAAGTTCCACAAGGAGCCAGATGGCAGTTAGTGCAGTGAAGACCTTCCCAGCAAGTGGGACTGTGGTAGGACTTTCTAGGTCAAGATGGTAGTCCAGGCATACTTTTTCCCTCTCCCTGCTGCACAAGTCCTTGTTAGAACAACTGTGAAAGAATTTAAAAGGTAGGACCCTGGAGCAGGGAACAGGATGGGGAAGAATGATTTCTTTATGTTTCTGGATCCCAGGAGGGACTGGAAGGTTATGGGTCATGGAGAAGGGGGAATACCTTCCATTGCAATCTGACAAGCCTTGTGCTTCCAAAGGAAACTAGGCATTAATGGATACCTCAGCATATATCCCAGGGCAAGGAAAGTTTGAGTGTACTTGTCTAAAGGAATTCACCAAATTGCCTGGAATGAGCTCATGCCTTCATTGTGGGTGTTAGCATCCAAGTTAAAGCCATCCCCATCCTGTTATTAGCTGGCTCCATGTCTCATAGCCAGACCCCATTTGTACACTGTAGAGTGATGTCCCCTTGCAAGACCTATTCTGTATGCTTTGTGAGCTCATTTGAACTCCACTCATCTTAGTGAAGTAGATACAGTTCCACTCTCTCTGGTTTGCAGACAAGGAAACTCAGACACACAGACACTAATTGTCTTACTCAGGATGTCACCTAGCTGGTTAGAGGTAGAGCTGCAACATGAACCCCAGGCCTCTGTTGTCAGAGCCCACACTCTTAACTATGTCTCTTACTGACTCCTATCTGTCAAAGCAAAAGTTACCCAGACACCACTTTAATTTTTTAACACCTTAATTCCTGTGAGTGTAACTACTCTCTGCCTAATGGAGGCTGAGGGAAACAAAAATAGCTGTTCCTGGGGGTAGTAGGTGGTAGTGACAATGGCGTGTCCAAACGCTCCAGCCAGACTCTGAAGGTGCAGGAAGCTTTGGCATCCATTGAATGAGAAGACAGTCAGAGGTCCTGGCACCTCTGTCTCGGTACCTACAGAAGTATGGTGGCGAGATGCTTATAACAACTGGATGTACAGTAAGTCCCCTACATACAAATGAGTTTTATTTGGAGAGCACATTCATAAGTTCAATTTATTCCTAAGTCCAACAAAGTTAGCCTAGGTACCCAGCTAACACAATTGACTATATAGTACTCTACTGTAATAGGTTTATAATACATTAAAAAAAACATAAAAAATAATGAAAACATTTTTAACCTTACAGTACTTTGAAAAAGTACAGCAGTACAGTACAATAGCTGGCATATATGGGCTGGCATTAAGTGAACAGGAAAGAAGAGTTACTGACTGGAGGAGGGTACTTTAAAGTACACAAAAGCACAACCACTTGTAGAGGATGCACACACATGACAATACGCCAGACATCTGAACCAATTTATTTGATTAGACATGCAAACACACATTCACATCTCTGAAAGTTTGCAACTTGAAGACTCATATGTAAGGGACTTACTGTATTTCTAAACATTTGCTTACTTGGCCTATTAAAAATTAATCACACACACCAACTCTTTTTCACTAACATGGTATTATGCAAAAGTAGTCCATGTTTTTTGGTTTGCACTTTAGAAACGACTGTTGCAGAACTGAACCCTGACTGTGGAGCTAAGGTGAATCTCAAGGACCAGGGAGGCCGAGAGCATCAGAACTGGGAAGCTACCTTGGGACTCATCAAAGAGGAGGGCCTGAGCTGAACAACCAAGCAGCTGGAATAAATGGGCAAAAGCCCAGTTTAGGAAAGATGGTCAGACCTAGCCATATTCCCCAGGAGAGCAGGGGAGGAGGAAGTACCAACATGCGTCGATCAAAGAAGACATCTTCCTACCGTTAGCCTTTTAAAGGGACCTCAGAAGCTCAGAGTTGGGTTTTTCACCAAATCAGAATACATGTG